CTGTCACGATTAATTACACGTAATTACTATCTATGTTATCAATTTCTCATCTTAAAACAATCTGTCGAAAACTAAACTGTGTGAAGTAATACTTCTGATATTTTTAGTGTCATGATTAATTTGATCTTTGGATTTATTTTGGGCTATTTTCTTAACTCTTTTTAGAAAAACAACAACCAGTAGCGGAAAAGAACGAGTTACACACAACTGAATATTGAACAGGCTAGCTCACGTGCATACGTTAAGCAACTGTTTCTGGCAGGATATACGTAAATGTCAGAAACAGCAGCTTCTTAGTCGCTAAATCTGTAAACACCAACCGCGTTATTTTGACTCGGAGGAGCAAATACTTAATTACTTCAAAAGTAATAAAAGTAAAAAAGAACAACAACAACAACAAGAAAAAAACAACAAAAAAACACGTTACTAAATATTTCTTTCTCTGTAATCAATAAATCCTTAATGTGAAGGGATGGTTTAGACACCTGGTCCTGCTAGCCTCTGGGAAATTCAATAATCTGCGAATATGGATGCGCATGCGTTATGAATGCTATTTCTCACCAGACTCTAAATATACTGAAAACTTACCGACGTATTCATATTAGTTAAGGCAGAAATTAATAGAATAAAACCTCGCTTTTTCAAGAAAAAGTACTTTATTACATATATATACACATAGACTCTATTGATATTTATTATTTATCTTGAAATAACCAATGCGCACGAAATAAAGAATCCAGAAGGTTCAAATTTATAATGAAAATTATAAAAATGTTTTAACCAATTTTGTGACGCGAGTATCACTCTACTCTCCAGGTGGTGTACACAATAACATTGAATTTTGCATTTGAAAATGTCAGAGTACCAGAATGTGTCGGATGAAATCGACTATCAATTGAACCACCACGACTGGAAGTCGGAAATCAAAAATGACATGCGTACACAGGATAAAAGACAAGACATAAATTATTCTTGAGGGAATGCGGAGGTGTCGCTTCAAAACGATTTTGTAAGAGTAAATATATATCCACAGCGTTCTAAAAAAACAAAAACAGGTCGTACCACTTCTAGAGAGAGCGGTTTCAAAAGGAGATAAATAGTTTTGACTGATTAAAAATAAGTTTCAGTATAGAAAAATATATACTGTTTGTTTGTTTGTAATTTAAGCACAAAACTACACAATGGGCTGTCTGTGCTCTAGCCACCACGGGTATCGAAACCCGGATTCTAGCGTTGTAAGTCCGCAGACATACCGCTACGCCACTTGGGGGGGGGGCAGAAATATATATTAAAATCTTCAACTGAAAACATACCAGGTGGATGTTATACAGCGTACGACTAATGGACATATGCTTTGGAAGAATAACACTTCGGCTACTTATTGGGCTATAATTAAGTGAATATTGGAGATAAATAAATAAATAATTACAATGAAATTACTAATAAAAAAATAAAGAAATAAATTGACCACTTTTTGCCATACGCGATCTGTAACATCAACAAAAACCTTGATAAAATTGATGTGAAAATATTTTTGTTTCGATAGTAGTGCCACCTACTAAGTAGATTCATAAATGTTTGATCTTGAAAGAATCAAAGCTAAAACAATACGAGAAAATCATTATAAATTTTATAAATGATTATATCATGTGTATTCGTTCCAAGTACATAACTGTAGTATTTGAATGCTATAACGTTTTCTTTTAATTATACACTGTGTTAAAGGTTTTCACATGTATTAGCGAAAAACCAAAATTAGTTTTTAGAGAAATCAGAAGCTTGATTTCTGAATAATCACGTTTTGCTATTGTTAAGCCTATAATATACAAAACATAATAAACATTTAAACTCTATACTTTTTAACAGCTTAAACGACCCAATCAGTTCCAGAAACAAAAATACAAAGAGCTATTGTATCCTGTTACTTGAGGATTTTAAAGTTAGTCATTGTTACACCTAATAATATATTAAATACTGCAGGTAAACTACTTGGTGGCTAGTTATAACTACAGCTAAAAAGATGTTAAAAACTTCATGTCAACTAATAGATGGCAAGTCATGGCTACAGAAAATAATATATTAAAAACTGCAAGGTAACTAGTAGGTGGTTATTCATTACTACAGCTAATAAGATATTCAAAACTACACGCTAACTAATGGGTGGCTAGTCAAGACTACAACTAACAAGGTATTAAACTACTCGCTAACTAGTGGGTGGGTAGTCATGGGTTTCTAGCGTTGTAAGTCCGCAGACATACCGCTGTGCCACTGGGAGCAGACGGGGGTTTACAAAAAGAAAACTACTCTTGGATATATATATATATATATATATATATTGAGAAAAGGAAACTAATACAGCGAAAAATGTAAGGTATGAATTTAAATAAGTTACCAGTAGTTTTATTTTATTTTCATTCGTTACTGTTATATGGAAGATTGAAGTTTTAGAGAGAGGTGCAATCCTTTTCTATTATTTAAAACGTTGAATGTAATGCCATATATTAACATAATTTAAATAGATCCGGACCCGAAACAAATGTTTGGATTTATAGACTACATGACCAATACATATATTCCGATTATGCCAAATTAAGGAGGAATAGATCAAGATTATTTTGTTTTTGAGTGTTGGAAATTGATATTCTTGATAAGATATACATTTAAGGGATGCTGAACTGTATAAAGGAAGGGAAAGTCGATACTTTACCTTACGTGTTGTTGTTTCGTAATAACTCACCTACTCCTCGCCGGCCGGACCTGGACGACGGAAGCTCTGGGGCAGATACAGCCCCGTCGCTATCCTCCTGAGAGTCGTAAGGCAGAGTTTTCTTGACAAAACGGACAGACTGACGGTGTTGACGAGGTTCCATCTCCATTTCACGGGCTCGTGGCAGTGAATTGCTGCGGATTTGGCCGGCCGTTCCCTTAACTGGACCTGCTCGTCCTAAACTGTATTGTTTGTATAACATTGAGTCTTTGGAGTTGGTCTGCACCTCAGTATCTGAAGAGCTTTCCATCACAGATCGTCGTCGCAAAATTCCTGCATGGGGAGGAGCATCTCTTTCATAACGTCGGACTCGACCACGAGGCTGCATTGTGCGTGCCATTCTTAAAGCTGGACGCAGCCCTCTTGAAACATACGTTTCAAGCGATTCTTCTCTTTCTGTTGTAATTTTCTGCTCACTCTCGGTCCTAAGTAGACGTGGAGGCTTACTGGCTAATAAAGAGCCGTGCTCATCCCAGAAGCGGTGGCGGGCAGTGGTGCCTCTTTCAGGCCTCGAAGGCAATAAAGTGTGCGATGCAGACATCTGAGATTTTCTAGCCTGAAGTGGTGGACCAGTGTGAAAAGTGTGAACTTTTTGAGCCAAGCTTTCTAGTGTTTTAGGATAAACTTGCTGCGACATTGGCTGGCGAGTGACAATTTTAGGGGGTAATAAATCAGCAGTTTCTCTTCTCCAAAGAAGTTCTTCCTTTTCAATATCAGCTCCCGAGGTCCTGGGTATTTGCAATCCGCGAGGTTGTGAATTATAAAAAAGCACATGCTCTTCCAGAGGGCGCCCTTCCCTCGTGGCCATAGGTCGCTCTATTGTTATAATATCAGACGACAAACCTTTATTTCGGACTCTCGACATCTGCCCATCTTCATTATTGCTGGTGGAAAGTTCATCCGGACCTTCTTCTTCGACCTCTTTCTTCCACACTACGACTGGCGGACGAATTTCTTCCACTACTTTGTGAGATGCGTGTATAGATGCTCTTCCTGAAATTTTGGAGCGGATGGTAAGCACTAATCGCCGTGGAATAGACATAATAATAACAACATCATCCAAACTCATCTGTCTGACATCTACTAAATTAACAGCCAATATTTCATCCCCTACTCTTAAAAGTCCGCTATCGTATACAGCACTTTCTAAGGCAATTCTAGATATGAAGACTCCTTCGTTTACCCTAGTCCCGTCTCCTTCTCTAATATATAAGCCTAGGGTCTGTCCTGGGCGCTTGATGATTTCCACAAATTGCACGGTGTGGTTGGAATCGGTGCCACTGAGATGCTTCTTACTAGTCTCTGTACCTACCCTTCCCAGAGTACGAGGATCCAGAACACGTATAATCATCTCTCCTCGTTTTTCAACCGCCTCAATATTGGCGGCTGTCGTGGCATCATATTCATTCTCCACCGCCTCAATCTGCCGGAATATTTCAGTGGAAATTCCACTGACCTTCCGGAAGTCGCTTTGAACCACCATTTCCGGTATTCTTGGGCGTGACGGACCTGCTCTTCGAGACCCATCTTCTCCTGTCTCCAGTTCACCTTCCCCCGTCTCCTGAAACACAGTTACGTTAAAATATATTTTTATATATTTAACTTTCAAGAGATATCTGTGAACACTGAAAACAGCTTTTTACGTTTTAATATTTTTAACTCTTATAAACAACAACAATGCTTATTAAGAAAAACTTTTACTCTTGACTTTCCCACAGACTACAACAACCACTTACGCTTAACAACATAAACCTTGTCTTACCAAGTGGTAAGAAGCCGTAAATATTAGATAAAACGTAACAACTCATTTTAACTGATTTTGTTTTCTTACAGTCAGGGCGTGGTATGGCTTAGTAATTAAGTTGCTCGATTCGCAAACTGCGGGATATGGGTTCGAATTCCCGTCATCGAACATATTCACCATTTCAGCCACGGGGACGTTATAATGTAACGGTCAGTCCCACTATTCGTTTGTAAAAGAGTACCCCAGGAGTGATGTTGACTAGCTGTCTATCACTGCTAAATTAGGGACGGCTAGCGAGGTAGCCCTCGAATGACTTTGGGCGAAATTCAAACTAAACTTATAGTCAGGAACTGAAACAGTTTGGAAAGGTGATCTGTCATATGAAAAAGGTTTGTGATTATTGAAAAAAACTCTTCATACATTTCTTAAAACAATTAATGAAGCAGTTTGTTTGTTTTAGCGCAAAGCTACACAATAAACTATTTGTGCTCTGTCCATCGTGGAAAATCGAACCACGGATTCTAGAATTGTAAGTCCGTAAACTGACCGCTGACCCATTTGGGGATTAATGGAACTGGCTTTATTGTAAAACATGAAGCGTCGTAATAATAGGTTTTCAAACAATGATTTACATAAAGAAGAATTTTATTAATGGTGGAACTTACTTCATGTCTTCTTCAGGTATGATCAGTACAAAGCAAAACAAGGTTTATATATCGTTACAATGACAAAAGATAATACAAGGATTAAATTGTGACGGTGTTTGTGTTTGTTTGTCATTAAGCACAAAGCTACTCAATGGGCTATCTGTGCTCTGCCCATCACGGGTATCGAAACCCGGATTTTAGCGTTGTAAGTCCGCAGACATACCGCTGTGCCACTGGGGTACAATTGTGACGGAAATGGTGTCAGCAGGTGACAGGATATTGGTAAAGGTCAAGTCTTGTCAAGTATAAACGGTGAATAGATTGGTTTGGTTTGTTTTAAATTTCGCGAAAAGCTACACGAGGGCTATCTGTGCTAGCCGTCTCTAATTTTGCAGTTAAAGACAACTCTTGGAGTACAACCAACAGTGGGATTTACCGTCACTTTATAACGCCACCACGGCTGAAAGGGGACGGGGATTCGAACCCTCGACCCTCAGATTGTTAGTCAAGCGCCCTAACCACCTGGCCATGCCAGGCCCATTAAAAGAAGGGTTGTTATATATTACTTATATGGTATACGAAATGACTGAATGTAAAAATAATTTTATTTATCAACTAGATAAGATTCGATACGTAAATTCAAGCGCCCTAACCACCTGGCCATTCCGGGCCTACGGTGAATAGACCTTGACAAATACGGCTGATGTTTCTAGGGCCATTATCACGGTTTAGCGAGAGATCGTTTGCTTTGATGATTTCTAGAGTTTCTTAACAGTCTATTTCTTTTTTAGTTTTGGGTTGATCTAGAAGAATAATTTGATCCCAAAGTATTTTATGACCTGTTTCAAGTTAAATACATGTTAAAGCAGATATCTGGAATTCACCTCTACGCTTGTGACCTTGGTGTTCTTTATGTCTTATTTCTAAGCAACGTGACGTTTGTCTCATGTATTTCTTTCCACATTCACATGGGATGCTATATATACCTTGCCTTTGTTCTTTTAGTAGGGATTCTTTCGGGTTAGGTTGTAAGGTGTTAGTTTTATTTTGAACGTTTGAATATAGTTTTTACATCAGCCCCCCAGTGGCACAGCGGTATGTCTGCGGACTTACAACCCTAGAATCCGGATTTCGATACCGTGGTGGGCAGAGCACAGATAGCCCATTGTATTGTTTTATGGTTACTTCCAACAAACTTCCAAAAACTTTTACATCAATGGTCAAATTATTAAAAAGGCTAGTAAATTTCATTAGCAATTTCTTCCCCAAAAGGGAATGAAACAAATTTGCTATGTTTTATGTTGTTGATAGGTGAAAGGTTAGAGGTAGCACAATATTTTGTATAGGTTTTGAAGTTTGATACAAGCCCTATCTACGATGTTTGGGTTGAAACCTCTAGAAGTTCTTTAAGAAGTTCAATTCAATTAGTAAGTCTTCTTTGTGAGTGCAAAGTTGTATAGCACGGTTTACAAGGGGTGAAGTAGAAGGATGTTTTCTGTGACATGTGGTGAGTATACTTTATGCGTGGTGGCATGGTGACGGAGTGGGAAGACAACTGATGGATTCTGTTTCATGTGTGAAAATTATGACATTGGATCATAATGTGTTTAAGAATTCAATGAAATTGAGTAGCGTCTGTTTTCCATGTCGCCATATACTGAAGATATCGTCTACGTACTTTAACAAGTTTTCAAGTTTTTTGATGTGTGTGAATTTGTTTCCAAACAGTTCTTCTTCTAGAACGGACACGTAGAGATCACTAAATAGAGGGGAAAGGGATATCCCATCGCTAATCCATTATTTTGTTTGTAAAACTAGCCTTCGTATGTAAAATAAGTATTGTTTAAGCAGTATTCTGTGAGGTTGATTGTTTGTTTGTTTGAAGTTAAGCACAAAGCTACACAATGGGCTATCTGTGCTCTGT